TGAATGAATGCAATTCGTCTTGAAAAATTGTGAAATACTGCATTTTGTATGAGGTCTGTATGATAAAAACAGCGCCTCATCATACTCTTTCTCCTCAGATGTGGTGTATTAAAAAAAATAAACGATTGGTTTGCACGCACCCAGATTTATTGGCAAGAATTTGTAAACTTGTCGATTACAAAAAATTCAGCCTGATTTGTTTTCCACACCTTATCTACTGTGATAAAAAGCCAGTATTACTCTTAAATTTGACCGTACACCTTTTTGGGTGTACATATAAGGCTATATCAACTTGATACAAGATTTGTTCCACTCCAAAATCACTTAACCTTTCAATGGGAGCTTCACTTTTAGCCGTGGCTAAATCTACATGTTAATAATTATTTATTGCTTAAATGAATACCTCTTTTTTGACGGCTTTACGCAGCCTTAGTTTCCTACCGTTTTTGTAATCTATGGTACCCTAAATTTAAAAAAAGTGGTAATATTAGTATTATTTGCACAAACTAATAACAAAAACTACGAATTAGTTACTTAGACCATGATTTGCATTTTGTTCCAACTTGCATTTAGCACAGTGAGCAAACCCCAGTTGGGGTGAGGTTTACTCCCTAGTGACCTATACAGGGTCCCTTATTTAGGGTTCATGTTCATTTGTAGAAGCAAGGGTAGGGAAATCTGTGATTTTGGTCTAAAAGGAGCCAGAAGGGCTAACAGATGCATTTTATGGCCAAAACCAAGAAGATTTGGTGATTTATTCACATTTGCAAGACCATTGTTCTCCTTCTCAGGCGGTAACCAGTAAAATTTACCACCTGAAGCAACGCTTTTTACCAACTGCAACCACTTGAAGGTTTACTAAAATTAAATACCATAAAATTCCGAAAATAAGCGCCTCCATATATAATCCTCCCAAACCAGTAACACAAAAAAACCCAGTGAGAGCAGGGCCATGTTCCTTACACCACTACCCCTTCCCCCTACCCCCAGGAAAGTGTGCCTCTGGCACATATTTTTGCCTCACTGGCCATGAACGGTCCCTTACCCGCTGGGCTAAAATTTAGGGAGAACACTGCAAGACAGTGCCTTTAAAGCAGTGAAAAGAGACACAAAAGTTCTTAACTACGTAGGTGAAAGGCAAGCCCTAGGATTTCACGCTAATGATCCTTTCTGGTACTGGGTTGTTACTGTGGTGTTACAATAACAGAACCGAAAAATTGTTTCCCAGTGACATTTTCAGCCTTAGGGACCAATTTACAGAAATTCACTATTTTTCCACTCAGATTCTTAGTGGAGCAATTCTTTAGTTACACATGTATGACTTATTGTCTGCCATCTTGAATCCTTCACAGGTGCACTGCACACTACCAGTTTATGGTTTCCAGTACCAAGAAAACAATATGACTACCAAAAATTGAAAACATTTAAGAGGTAGGTTTTCATGAATTTTCACGGAACCAAAAAAAAAAAAAGAGATACAGATGGTTTCCCATAATCTCTGGCCACAGAACCAAAAAACCTGTTTTCCATGGGATTTGAAATCCTAGGGGGTTAGAAAGGGGTACCATTTGGCAATAGAAGGTAGGTACAAATAGGGTACCTTTTTTTGTCAAAAATGGTCGCAAAAGGTCATTAAGGGGTTAAATTCTGAGGCAGCGCATCCCTGAATTGATACTTGGTTGAATGTCCCCCTGGGTCTTTATGCCATTTTGTGTTTAAAACAAAAACAAAAACAAAAAACTAATAAAAACATAGCATACACATAATTCCCCCAATTTAGAATAAACAGAGAGGAATATCTAAATAACAAAACTTATACCTTTTTAAGTAGTTCATTACGTGCGATGGTTGTCGCAAAAGTGACAAATCCATAGCTGCAAAAGAGAAATACTCAATAATCAGACAAGGCCTAACTGTGAACTGACGGGATCAGTTATAGAAAATGAACTGTTAAACTAAGTAAACATGTTTCAACTGTTATAAAATAATCATCTGTTGCCATGCCTGTAAATTCATTTTACTGCTTGACACACTGAGAAGTGTGCCCTTATGGCAAACATTTAAGCATAGCCCCCATTCAAAAACAAGTCATTTCATGAAAATGCTGACAGCTTTGCATTTGTTGAGTCTTGAGTAGCTGCCTCCCTGCCTTTTAGGGGGTACAACGTTTGGTTTTTGAATTGATGTGATATTTGATCTAGATGAACTGTACATCTGATACTAATAAGGGAACACATAAACATAGAATAGATGGCCAATATGTTTTTTTTTTGTCAAGACAAATGGTGACTGTGTATGCCCTTCTCCTCCCCTCCTCCTCCCCCACAGTGGTTAAAGACTAACAAACTCAAAATTTTCCAACTTTAAAATTACTGCAGTTAGGGCATAACAAACGTAAAAAATTGGTTTATTTAGAAAATTATACTAGCGAGAACAAATTTGAGGAAAAACATTGGCTAAAAAGACTCAAGAAAGGACCTTTTATAACTACTTCTGCTGTAGCTTGGCAAATCCCCCTGGGGTGCATGGAAGCGGAGAATTAGCTCCATGGAAGGTATGATAAAATATTATTATGGTCTAAGAATAGGGAACCACCCTAAGACCACATCACAAAATCAGAGAAAGGATCTGAGATTAGGGTGGATCGCAACCTTGTCATCTTGGATTGTATGATAAGGTATTATACCACCCAACAGCTGCTATGTACTTGAGGGCAAAATACATCGTGGGGAATAATCAAACTAACAAGGCCAATTATCACTTTGTGCTTAGCTTGATAACACTCATTTACGACTTCAAGGCTCACGTTTGCCTTTTCTTTATCCTGAAACTTTAAACTTTGCTACTACTTTCAAGGATACGGAAATACATTTCCCAAGCGGCACGTTCTGTGGGCCTTTTACATTAATGCAAGGTTCACTGTTTGTTTACTCGTCTTTCTAACCACTGGTAATTTAATTAAGTTTGAACCTAATCTCGCAAACATTCGATCATGCAATGTAATGTGGCCTATAAACGTTTGCGCTAATCAAGAGTGTACAGACATTGAAAACTTCAACATAGGAACCAGACGTTAACGTGCTGCACTCTTCTATTTTCAGAGCCGTAATCGCATGGTTTCGTTGCGTTTTGTTTTCCTCGCCAAGCGTTCATGAAAGTGCAAAAAAATTCTAGCAGAAGGCTGTGACTTAGAAATTTAAATTAACTGTAAAAACGGTGATTTCTAAACTCAGTGAGAGCTACTACATTTACAAGAAGCTCAATTCACCTTTCTCCCGACCGAGCGATACCACATCAAAAGAGACGAAATTTACAACTTCAAAATTTTCCAGCAGATACATCTAAAGACGGTTTTAAGACTATCAGAACTCAATTCAAAGAACATTTCTTATCAAAAATGTTTTTGGTAGGAGATGTTTTTCTGTTCAAACAAAACCTTGCTTTAAAGGCAGGGGTCGCATCAAAGTACAATTTCATACAAAACCATCCATATTTGCTCATGTAACTTGCAAGCAAGGGGGATTTAAAAAATAATAATAATGATGATAGCAATAAACGAATAAGGGGATAAAAACATGGAAACACGCTTTTTACTAAATAAGTCAAGGTTTCTAAGTAAGCTTATACGAGAACCAAAAAGATTACATTGACTTTAAACTTACCCCTTGTTTAAACCCGTTTTTCGGTCACAGACTATTCTTACGTCTACAACTTCCCCAAATGCCGAAAAAAACGTTTCTAATTCGAGCTCACTCGTCTGGAAAAGAGGGGAAAAAAGCAACAAATGAAATAAAATTAGTGTGACACAAATAAATGTACGAAGTGTTCGTTACTCGAAGCAACCACATTCATCTCAAAAGCGCGCGTTTTTAGCAAAATAACTGCACCAATGGAAATGAAAAAGCTGTGAAACCATTTTTCCTCCTCCACAATGCAAAACATCTACTAGATAAAACAAACAGATTCAAAATTTCCTTTCAGCGAGAATCACAATCTTCAAAAGCACTTTTGGCTGACTATGCGATTTTGATAAAATGGGGTTGAAACATGCTGAAAGACATCGCTGTTTATCCTTTCAGCATTTGTATCTGGCAGATTGGCGGTAAAAGCCAATGATACTAAAGTAAAGTAAAATAAAATAAAAATAATAGAAACCAAAAACAGAAAGAAGTAGAAATGCTTGAAATTGTTCATCTCCTGGGACTACTAAAAAGGAGTCAACTCATAGTCGCTCATAAATTCAAACGAATAACGACCGCTCTGGAATGTGCATCTTCGGTGGTCACTTGTACACTTTTCGCGACAACAATTTTCCTGGAACCGCACGTTTGCAACATCCGTGATCGTCAAGACACAAATTTAAGCCTTCCGTACTATATCAGGAAGATAAAAGCGCAACGATGAACCCTCGGAAAAAGATTCGTTCAACGAACAGAAATAGGAGAACTTCAGCGAGAAAAGAAGGGTGTAAACGTACCTCTCTCGACAAACCTCCTATGAATACACGGTTAAAGATCTCCTGCCCGTCCGGGATCTAGAGGAAGAGAGAAAAAAGGCAGATTTTTAGATTTGACGGCAAAACTGTTTACCAATCAGATCTACACATTCTTGAAACTACTGTTAAAATTGCGCAACTCGTCACATATCAGGCGTACATCAAGGGGAAAAAAAGCTAATGCATACAATCTTCAAAATGATATCGTTTGCTTATTAAATAAACAGACAGTGGGACACATTTTCAAACAGGAGAACCCATATTTCTCAACTACAAGTGATTATTTCCTATTCTAATCTGTCTAATCCAAACACGATGGTTTAGTAACATCGGTGATTAGGCGGCGTTATGTTAAAGACGGCGCTAACCAGACAACGCTGGACCATTTTCAGAGCACCTTTTTAGGCGCTTAAGCTTAATTCTTTACACCCCGGAAATCTTAAATACGCAAAAAAACAAAACAAAAATACCCAAATTTACTCACGTTTGCTTGCACACTGGCGGTCATTTTAGTTCGTCTGGTTGCTACACGAAATGATTGAGAACTCAAGCGAGCAAGTCTTTCCAACGGCGGTACCGCGCTTTGTGATTGGTTTAAGATGACACGGTCTTATAACGCGTCAGTGCTGGAAACTAACAAAATCCAATACTCCAAGTACAAAGAAAGAAACTTTGAGATAACGCAAAAATGGTCGATCTACAGGGCGAAACGAAAATTCTGATCTAAGCTCAATCGAGGTCAAAGAGGTTTTTTTTCAAATCCACACAAGTGTTTCATATGTGATTCATTCTCAGTGGGCGGGGCACTCAAAATGTCAACTTGCTGCAGAGATACACAACGCCGTCTATCACTGATGAATTAAATGCACGACGCCCAGATCATAATCTCAAATAGAGGGCCTTTAAAAAGCCATCAATCAAAACATATTTAAAGCGATTGACTAGTGTTGTTCGAAAATCTACTTATGTTTAATTGATGGCCTGGATTAGAACACCCAGTGCAGTGACTTGAACACGAGAAACCAATTCAAAATTCTACGGCATTAATAAAAACATATCAATAATTTCCTTGCTCGTGTTTCACGTTCCTGATGAGAAAGTAAACAGAGTCCGAACACTCACAAACGTCAAATAGCGAAACTGTTTATATTGGCGAGACGCCGCGACCTTCTGTTTTCTGCAGCTTTTGTAAATCGCTGTGGCTATATGGCCCGTAACCGCTTTTGTAAATGGCGCGAAAATGTTACGCACAACCATCGCTGTAGGTGTTGGTTGGTTATTTCACTAGCAAACACCAAAGAAGTTTAAAAAATATTGGATAAAAAGGCAATTAAACACAGGAAAACTGTGTTATCCGTCATGACCTTAAATATTTTGTGCAGATGGAAAACATCGGCTCTTGAAAACGTTAACTAAAGACTGATCGAAAGAAAGGCGACAGCGGTCGGTCACGAAATGGGTGGAAATTACAGGAAAAAATTAATCAACAGAAGATCCTACAAGAAAATGACTTAGGAATATAACAAAAAATAAATAAGAATATAATAATATAAATAAGACTAATTATTTAAGAATATACAAAGTGATTGGTTTTGAAAATTTTGGGGAAATAGAAATCGTTTTTGCACTCTTATGGGTTCTAAATGGGATTTTTTGTTTACTGTTATTTAATAATCTGCCCATATTTTTTTTAGTGTTTCGAGTTAAACAGCCAGAAATTTAGTGTTTCATGTGTTTTTATGAGGTTTTGGCGATAAAACTCCTAAAAGTAAGTGTTACAGAGCTCAAAGGTATGTCACAAATTTAATATCGAGGCAGTCGCTAGACCCTCCACATAGAATTAGCAGTACAATTTCATTAAAACGGAAACTAGTTGAAGTCTGTCATTAGCTCAACCTAAGACAATTAGCGGCTAATCAGCCATGATCAACGCACTTCTGATTTTTATTTTTTTTAAATGCTAATCGGTCCTAATCAGTTGACATCAACAACAACTCGTCTCTTACAGTAAAAATTAGAACAGACGTTTGCTACACAGCCGTTTTAGTGTCGTCAGAGCTTTGCGTGACCAGGGAAAGAACGGATCGGTTAAAAAAAAGTATCGGTTCCAGACGAAATCTCTTGTTTTACACGGACAAGTCTTGTAATGCTTAATTTCCTCAAATTTCTTCTCTACGAATATTTTGGACGGCCACCTCTCGCGGGGAAACCAGTCGTGGCGCCGCGAAATGTCGGTTCTTTTCTCAGCCTGCCTTTTTTAGGTCGCCGAGCGAAGCGCGCTAAGAAAAAGATAGCCACGCGCGCGACTGTCCCCTGACGCCCTCGCTTCTCGAGTGCCGTAATTCATACGTAGAGGCACCGGGTTAAGAGATCAAAATGATCTCTTGATAGAAGAAAATAAGATACCCCTAACCTGCAAAAAAAAAAAAGAAAGAAAGAAGAAGAAACTAACACAAAAGAAAAACCAAACAACAAAAAAACAAAAAACAATGACAAACCCAAAAAGAACGGAGTTAAATATTTTTGTCTTAATTATTAAGATTAAAACTATTTTTATGTCAAGGGTCCACTAATCCTGAAAATAGAGAGGTTAAGAGAAACGTTTTAATACGCTAAACGGCAAACGTGAATTTGTACCACGTGAACAACTTTTCCCCTTAATTGTCGTTTACTCTTTATTACTTCTACTCAAAAATAAGTAGTTTTAAGCCAGTTCTATCCATAAGAATTGTTTTGATCTTCTTATTTTCTATTGTGAGAAATTCTCAACTTGAATCTGACGTTTGCCGTTTATACATCTTATTTTCTGCCATATAAACACATGAATGCCAGATAGAGTGGTAACCTGTCTCTGATGGAAAACGACATGAAGTATTCTGTATTCAATTATATGAGTAAACAACACTGAACGCATCCCGACGTTAGTTTAACTGGCTTTATTATTTCTAATTCTATCTACTACTGTACAGTTTTTTTTAATACTATATATAATTCAAATAAGTAACTCACACCAATCTCCAGCTATTTAATGAGAAAAAAGGAGAAACACGGCACCCCCACCCCCCTCACTTGACATGCGCCCTATAAAATTCATCCTTCCCGTCATCTAATTTGAAGCAGAAAGGAACCTTCAGTCACTTCTTCCTTTTGAAGCCAAGTTACTTTAGCATCGTCTTAAAGCTCTATCAGGTTATTCAGGGGCTGTCCACAATTGGTGCCCGGGAATCAGTGCCTGGGTATCGCACAAAATGATGTTGTGTTCACACTTGCGCCCTGCCAGATGCCATTTGAAACATGAGCTTAGTAGGAAGTACAAAGCAATGGACTGCCCCAGAACTAACTATCAAAACGGTGTGCACACGGCGACCCGGTGCCCACTTTTGTGGGGCACCGTCACCGTGCCCGAATTCTATCGTGGGTACTTGAAAAAAAAAATGTGTGTTCACCTTAATGCCCGGCGAGTATCGTACTCGGGCACCGTGCCCGGATACCAGGTGTGCACGCTGCCCTAGTTATTTCCTCAAAAGCACCAACGACCTTTCCATTAAAGCCCGATTGCTGTCGCCGCAGATTTCACCTTTTAACTGGACGAAGTCATATAGCCAAAAACGTCGGCCAAAATTTCCGAAATTATTTTAAGGCAGGCTGAATGCAACTTTGACTGATCTCGTTTACTTCATTCCGGCCTTTTTAGAGACGAATTTCACGCTGAATTTCGAAGGGTGAGAAGTTTCAGCAGATCAGCTACAACGAACCGATCTATTCAGCAATGGACCAAGATATCCTGTCGGTTATTGCGGTTCTGAAAATGAGAATGGGTAAATGGAACAGCTAATTCTTCAATTTATGATAAGAGCGATCCAGCAAAGAAAAAAACGCTTACCATTTGTACGGAACATCCGGTAATTCAGAAGAGAATTCAAATGGAACAGTTCATCCCTTTGAATTGTTTTCGGCAAAAAAGGTTATACCTTGCGAGGTATCAGATTTCCCGCTTTTACCGGAACGACCGAAATTTTTGGAACCATTTGCTTGGATTACGAGCGCCAGGCTTTCTCTAGAGAGAAGGACAAAAATTTACCTGTATTTTGTAAATGATACAACTCAATCATGTTTTCGCTGCGAAAATAATACCAGTAGCATTTGACGGACAATTTTCACCGAAATTTCCGTCCAAATGGTAATCGATCAAAGTGATCCGTCTCTGAAGGTATATTTTTTCTTGAGAAACTTTTTGCAGTTAAACCCAACCGAAATTTCCGGCAATTTTGGTTGAATAAATTAAATAAATGTGCTCCTATGAGGAGGAGAGGCTTGCCCAGTTACTGAGAATTTGGCTTTCTTTTGCCGGGTTTTTTCGATTCTCTTTTTTTCCCTTTCCGTTCGTACTTTGTTTTCTGGATTCCGGGACAGTTTACCACGCAAAAATAAAATACGACAATTATAGCAACGAGCTTAAGTCTCCGACTTGCTGGATCCTTATACGTTTCTGGGAAACTTCCCACCTACCCCTTCCCTAAGCCATTTTGCCCTAAGTTAATGTTGGTTTAGGGGAGGGGTAGGTGGGCAGTTTCCCCGAAACGTAGTTTCGAATGTCTTTTTTCTTGATGTTTTTTCCATACTTAGTAGTTAGCATTTTACTAATGAGGAGAATGACTTCCTCCGTATTTCTCGGGAGTACGACGTCCTCTTTCAGATAACAAATAACAACGAGTCCATCTCGTTTTTGTAGTGTCCTACGCTAGTGATTTTGCGTGCAAAAGACTTTTTTAAAATTGTCTTGTCCGTGATTTGATTTAGTAGGCAAATCTACCATAACCGCACGAAGAGAATGCTATCCTGCCTTTCCGCTCTCCAGTGTGACTTTGTTCATCAAATGACAAATAAGAAAAAGCCAACCTTGTGCTACTGCCGTCAATCTTGTCACTTATAATCTTTGCTCTCCTTTATGAAGGGATCCCAATCTTTGATAACGTATGTCTTTCTTGAGCGTTCAGTGCTTGGAAATAGGTTGGATAACACTGCTGCTGCGCAAATGTCTGGAGAAACTTGATTAAATGATCCTGAAGAAAAAAATATATGAACATTTCAACAATGACCATTAGTGTTATCTATGCCATCAGCTGACAGTCAAGGGCACACAATTTCTGGCCAGTTGGAAAATCAGGACTGGACTCTGGACTAGGCTCGACTGGATTCTTTTTATTTGTTTTTTGTCCGATTCTTTTTAAACCCCCCACCCCAATAAAAAGAAAACAAAAACAAAACAGAACAAAAGAAAAAAAACAATCTAGTCAAGTCTAGTCTAGAGTCCAGTCCAGGTGGCCAAAATTTCTATGAGTAAGTACTTTCTTGGTACTTTATAAGTGTTCTGTTCATCTCAGACTCTTGTTACCAAGGTTTTTTCATTCACTTCACTCACGATTTTCGGAAGAAGGCTTCTTCACATTTTACTTCACAGATCTGGCCATTTTTTTCTGCAAGAATTTGTTTTGAAAATAGTGA